GTAACCGAGTAAGTAGCTAGTGACCAATGTCAGAGTTGGAGGATAGAATTTGAACGAAAGCAAAAGTACTCAGATGTGTAATAATAAATTCTGATCAAGAAGTAATCTAAATGTTCTGAATTTCAATTATTCTTCAAAAGAATGCGTTAGTGTTAAACGACTAATTCGACATAATTTGATCCCCACAAATATTGAAATTATACATAGAAAAAGGATAATAATTGTGCAATTTATGCTACAATCTAATGGACTTAGAGGATACAGGTATGCATAGGTGTAAGGAGTTACCAGCTTAACTGTATTTATAAGGTAAGGATTAAGGCGGTTAAAACAAAGAGGAAGAAGGTTAATAATGAATGTGGGGTCTATTACTTGAATCGCCTTGCTGGCCATCCGCTTGATTAACTGTGGAGCAGAGGCCGGGCTAACTTGTGAACCGGGACTTGAGCCAGCTCCAGTGGCTACAGAGGATGAAAAGCCATGTCCAGACAAACTTGTTCCAGTAGAAGGCATGAGACCAGTGGCAGCTGTGAATGCGTCAATGCGGGCAGGCCCCGGTGAGGCCAAGTTACCAGTAAGGGCTGAGAAGCCTGTAGTGTCGATTAAACCAATATTGGAACCAGCTCCCAACGCTGCGGCTGCAGCTGCAGCAGCCGCACGCTTGTTTGGTGGCAGATGGGACCGCGGCACAGTGGAAAATCCAATAGGTGGCTGAAGAGTACCACTGGCCCCAGCGCCGGAGACATTGAGCAGGCCTGAGGCAGCCTGGCCGAGAGCTCCGGCAAGCGGGTGATTGGAGCCAGCCAAACAAGTGGCAGCCGCCAGCATGGCTTCATGTGTTGAGCTAGAGGTGGCTGAGGAGACGACACCGCCAACAGAAGTGGATGAAGAATGACCATGACCATGGCCATGATGATGGTGGTGGTGGTGCGAACCGATTAACTGGCTCCCAGGAGCAGCAGAGCCAGAAGTAGCATCACCACTGCTGCTGCCTGTTTGGCCACTAAGGCCACCAACATTGGTCGCGCCACCGACCGTGGATATCGGAGGAGCAAAAGGCGGCCTGCGTAACATAGTGCTGCTAGCTCCAGCTGTATGAAGAGTGTCACCGTCTGCCAAGCAGGTCGAGTGACTGCAATATCGACTGAAGCTCGAGCCACCAGCACCTGGTTTTCCGGAGTCGCGAAGAGCATCTGAACTAAGCGAGGAGTGAGATGAACTACCCACGTCCCCAGCCCTCAGAGATTCAGAGCTAGCATTACTAGAAACACTGCTGGAGCGAGATCGAGATCGGGCGACGCGGCGCCGGCCTGCTGATGCGCCCAAAGAGCTGGTTTTCTTAGATCCAGTAATACCGGTTGATGCTCTACCAATTGTGGTACTGGCTCCAATAGCTAAAGCCGCAAGTGAAGAATTACGTTTCTTTGCTCCGGTAGCAATACCTTCGGTAACGTTGGGGACTGGACGAACACTGGAGCATTTTCGCTTCCCGACGGAGGCACCGCGTTTCTTTCCAGTGTAATCCTCTGTGGTTATGTTGGATGGTGAACAACAGCGATCTGTTAGCTCATCTTCTTCCTCCTCCTCTTCTTCTTCTTGAGACGGATGCTCTTCCTCAGTGGAACTACCACCTGAGTGTGAAGATGAAGCCTCGACATCAGAGTGCGACTTTTTAATGGATTTTGCGGGTGGTCCACGTTTGGAGGTTTTAGAGGCCTTTCCACCATTGACTAAAGGCCTTTTCTTGCTTGCAATAGCTGGGGCACTGTTAATTTTTGTTGGTGATCTATTAGCCACAGACGATGACTTAAATAGAATAATATGAGAATTAAATAAGATAATGTAAAAGATAGTAGGAAGTTGGCATATTATTATTAAAATACTAGGGCAAAATAGTTACCGAGCGCAAATGATAATGTGAACGGAACGAAGACCTGTCTTGAAGCCCGTAGATGATGTAAATCATATTCAAAGTTTATTTGATAGATAAAGTTACGGAAAATATCGCAGTAACAAGTCTAGTGGTATTATGCTTGCCCTCATAGAACAACCTCACCGAGATTATTAGGTGAATCTAAGTAAATTTAGGCAACTCCAGGAATTTATGCCAACTTCCCTATATTTAGATTGATAGCAGTGCGATCACAAAGATGCTGCCGCAAAATAACTCAGAGTGCATAAATTCGTGCATTAGGTTAAAATGACCAGAGAACAAAATAAAAAATTTTCATCCGTGTATGCAAAAAAGACATCACTATTGGAGTGTTTTGAATGAGATATATTTTCAAGTCAGCACAAGTCAAATTAAATCAAGTAATAACATCAATTAGTTTAATGGACAAAC